TTACCTCCTTTCCTCCAGTGCTGGATGCGGATGGAGCCCAGGTTTTTAAGCAGGCCAGGCAAATGCTCTACCATTGACCTATACCCTCAGCTCAGCTGTAGAATCTTAGAAGTGCAATCATTTGCACTGATTTGGGTTGTGTCTAGACTAGAGTTTCTCAGGCTTTAGGTAAAAAGCTTGGCTATCCGTGCACTGGGGCACTGGCAGGCAGGAAAGCCATGAGGAGGTAGTGGCTTCAGTGGGGAGGCGCCAGGAGCAGAGGTTCAGCCGCATGTCCTGACCCAGTCCCCACGGGGCCTGTGGCGGCCAGGAAAGAAATGACTGCAATTAGGGCTGTGAGGAGCTGTTAGTCGAAGAGACTGGTGCCCACTCTGCCATTGCTTCCTCTGCTGATTAAATCAGGAGCTGAGCATCCAGGAGGAGGACGAACCACCAGGCAAGGGCGGGAGGGACGCAGAGGAGGACTCTTGGGGCCAGGCCAGGCTTTTCCAGAATTGTCTGGGAGTTGAGGACATGCAATGATCTGGTAACACACAGCCTTCCTGGCCCTTGTGAATAAGGGTCTAGGGGCACCTGTCGTGTATCTCTTCATTGTGTAGGCAGAGGGAGCTGACGGGGGCATGTGGCATCCAGAGGTGGACGGACCCTGAGATGGAGAAAACGTTTTTGGAAAGAGTTTTCTGTCTTGCAGGCTCAGGCCAGTACAGAGACATATCAGGAGACGCAGGCTCAACAGCCAGGGTCACAGCTCTTGCCCAACCCCACGCCTAACCCACTGGATGCCTCGCCTCGATGGCCCCAAGGTCCTACCACTTCCCCTACTAGCACCTCCCTCAGTAGCCCAGGTAAGGGGAAGGCCGTCCTAGGAGTGGGCCAAGGGGAGCTGCCTGTTGCTGGACCCCCCAGCATCTCACCAAAGCTTCTGCTCTCCAGGGCAGCGAGATGATTTGATTGCCAGCATCCTCTCTGGTAAGGGGCCCAGCTTGATCTGGGGTAGGGCCATGTGGAGGGCATCTGCCCCATGCAGCTCAGCCATACCCATCCTACCTCATCTGCTACACTGCCTCCTTTGCTTGCTACCAACACCTCTCCCTTGCAGAGGTGACCCCTACCCCTCTGGAGGAGCTCCGAAACCACAAGGCTATGGTGAAGCTTCGGAGCCGGCAGGAACGAGACCTGAGGGAGCTGCATAAAAAGCACCAGCGCAAGGCCATGGCCCTTACCCGCCGTCTGGATGGCTTGGCTCAGGCCAGGGCTGAGAGCAGGTGCCGGTCCTCCAGTGCCCCGTGAGTGCCCTGTAGCCTGTTGCCCATGTTATGTGCTGGCAGGAATATCGGAGGGAGGTGCATGTGTGGCTCTCCGTGCTGGGTGGGCATGCTTGAATAACAGGAAGGTGGGGGTGGGTTCCCATACTGGTCCTCACTCTTCCCTGGGAGTAACACCTCCTCCAAAGTCCTATGCCAAGAAGCAGGAATCCATCACCTGTGCGGCGCTAACGGTACAGCTGCTGGCCCCTGCTGGCTCTCTTGATTTGCATAGCAAACCTCACCTGGCTGTTGCCTGCCACTGCCTGTTGGCATGAGCCCTGCTCTAACTGTCCTAGCCCAGGGACCTGGTGTGATTGAGAAGGTTTTCCCTACAGGGGCAGAGCCACTAATGCAGAGGACATCAAGGAGGAGGAAGGGGAGACCAAGCAGCATCGAGAGTTCCAGAACCAACAGGTACAGAGCCTGCTGGAGCTGAGACAGGCCCAGGCAGATGCAGAAACCGAACGGAGGCTGGAGCACCTGAGACAGGTGAGGGGGCCTGTGGTGTAGGCAAGCAGAGCCAGCTCCCTGGGTAGACCTGTCAGCCCTGTGCTACCTGCTGGCTGCCTGTCCGTGTCCCCAGGCTCAGCAGCGGCTCAGGGAGGTTGTCCTGGATGCACACACAACCCAGTTGAAGAGATTAAAGGAGCTGAATGAAAGGTAAAGGGAAAGGCCTGTGTGAGGGCCGTGGGCTCTGTGCCAGGAGTCCTGCCTTTGAGCCCCTCCTGTCCCTCCTGCTGCTTCAGGGAGAAGAAGGAGCTTCAAAAGATTCTGGACAGGAAGCGCAACAACAGTATCTCAGAGGCCAAGACAAGAGAGAAACATAAGAAGGAGGTGTAAGTGTGTTAGGCCTGGGAGCCATTGGATGAGGGGAGGCAGAGAGGGAGCCTGGGCACTGAGCCATCCCTTTTACCTCTGCAGGGAACTAACAGAGATTAATCGGCGGCATATCACTGAGTCAGTCAACTCCATCAGACGGGTGAGTGAGCCCCTCCTTTCTTCCTCACTCATCAAAAACTCAGCTCTGCCATGCCTGGCTTGGTGACACATTGTTCTCCAAAGGGCTGTGCCTTTCCTCCAGGGACTATACCAACAGCCTCTGGTGCCTGCATCACATCTAGCACCTTTAGTGTCCTTGGAAGCCCTGATCCCCCCATCCCTCATTTTAGTGCCCTCCGGTCTTGCCCCTCCTTCAGCTGAACTCTTGCCCTCCCTTGCAGCTGGAAGAGGCCCAGAAGCAGCGCCATGAGCGCCTCATGGCAGGGCAGCAGCAAGTCCTCCAGCAGCTAGCAGAAGAGGAGCCCAAGGTGAGGCCTGGGGGAGGCAGACAGGTTAGTACAGGAGCTGGGCAGCCTGGGCCCTCTGGGACACTCATCCTTTTGCAGCTGCTGGCCCAGCTGACCCAGGAGTGTCAGGAGCATCGGGACAGGTTGCCCCAGGAGATCCGTCGATGCCTGCTGGGCGAGACATCAGAAGGTCTGGGAGATGGCCCCCTGGTGGCTTGTGCCAGCAATGGTCATGCACCTGGGAGTGGTGGGCACCTGTCCAGCGCTGACTCGGAGAGCCAGGAGGAGAACACCCAGCTCTAAACTGGCTGAGCAAGAGGTGGCCACTGAACTGGGGTGGGCGCTGGGCAGCGGGTAGAAGACACTACTGCTTTTGTTTGTTTGTTTGTTCTAACCTTTTGTCTTTAGAAATTTTATTTTTTTAAGATCTGAGACAAATGCCTCACTCCACACTAACTCCATTTTCTTGGGGCCTCTTCAGTCCTCAGCCTCTCCTTTTAACCTCAGGCCTAGGAAAAGGACTGGGGCTTATACCCCATAGCACTCACCAAGATGGGTATTCCCTCATTCCCAAGGAGCAGTAGATGGAACCCTGGAGCTCTGGGAAGTAGAGGCGACCCTTTATACTTGGGGATTTTTTACGTGAATAAAAGCGGACTTCAGGGACCCTGTGTAAGGTGTGGTGTGGATGAAAACATTCCAGGCTCCAGCTCTGGTACTGCCGTTTTCTCTGGCACCTCAGCTGGGCCATTGTAGTCAAACTCCTAGTAAAGTTTCAAGATTTGAACTTAGCTGCCCTGCCCAAGGTATTTGGTGGCCTTATTCCCTGCCAGGGGTAGCTCCGAGCTTTCTATTTCCACCCCGAGCCCCTAGGTTCCCTACCCCTTTTAGTCTCTTCTCCCTCATCTCGTCTGTTTCTTTGCTCAGGCTCAGACTGTGTCTCAGGAAGCCTTCCTTGCCCTCCTGCCTGTTGTCTGATATGACCCAAGCACCCAGCATCTCCTGCCGGGGCTACTGAGGGCAGCACACAGGGATGGAGTGCATGGTTAGAGCTGAGTTGTCAGATTGGGAAGGGGTCCATGGCTCTTAGGATAAAGGAAGCTGGCAGCTTTAAGGGTTGTTGCTGGCAGGGGCTATCATACTCTGTGGCCCCTCACCCCTGTGAAGGAGATGTTTTGCCTGTTTTACAGATACGGAAGCAGGTCCTGAATGGAAGCTGCGTGTACTGGGCCATAGCTAAGTTGAGACCTGCCAGGAGGCAGGATGGCCTGCATGCTGGCCCTGTACTAGATGTTCTTCACCAGCATGGAGGACCTGCTCCAAGGCTGACACCAGCCAGGAACACCAGAGACCTTGTGGCAAGAGAATGGGCCAGGCTCTGCAGCTGAGGCAGGCTGGCATTTCTTCAAGGCCTCTCCCTGCTTCCTGGCGGTTGGGTACTGTCTGCTCCTTCCAGAGGAAGGCAGTCTCTTATCTGGGCTTATCTCCTGCCAATGAAGTCTTTGCTTTGCTTTTGTTGCAGCCCCAGGCAAACAGACTGGGTAGGAAGGCCAGAGAAACTGGGTGGCCAGGGTTGGGCTTCGCAGGGCTAAAGTCTCTGCTCTGCTACCATTGCCCAAGCCACCTTCATCAGTGTGTCCTGTTCCCAGATCTGCCACTTTTCTGTATTCCACGTCTCCTACTGCTGACTGGCTGGCCTCCATTTTCCCAAACACTCTGGGCTGGGGTCCTCAAAAACAGGCTAACTCCCAATATCCTGGTATGTCCCTTTGCTGAGAGTGACAGCCCCAGACACAGCCTCACCTTCAAGTCTGACCTACTCCTTGAGGCCCCGCCGTGGGGGCCTCCCCCTCCCATGTTCCGGGAAGCAGGGCTGTGGCGCAACTTATCTGCATATCCAGCGCAAAGCACTGGCCTGGGCTATAGGGGCGCCAATAAATCTCTCAACTGAGCTCTGGGCCCCGCTCCAGGTCCCCATGAGAAGCTTCTCCGTTCCCTAGCGATCGTGTCGCTCCGCCCAGCGTGCCCCGCCAGGTCCCTGAGCAGCACAGGCCCCAGGCCGGTCACACAGTAGCTGCTCACAAGGACTGACCCAAATAGGAGCAAATGACCCCCCCCCGCCCCCGCCCCGGGGGAGCCGCGGCTTGGTTTGCAGAGCTCTGAATTCCGGCGGCCGGCTGGGCTGCAGCTCCCAATTACCATATTAGAGATAAGGGCCTGGCAGTCCCAGGGGTCTGGCCAGGATCCGCTCCCTCACCACTAAGTCTAACAGCCGGACTCCGTTGGTCAACTTGACTTTTTGGTCTCAGTATTTGGACACCTGTTTCCCTTACGGGTAAAAGGAGTCGCTTAAAACTTATCAGAAATAATAGTCCGGTTTGCGGAACCCCAAACGAAGGACAGAAGATGCAGCAGCACAGGTGCAGGCTTTATTATAAAACACGTTTGCTGCGACCACGGGCTCCCAGTTCGCATGTTGGGCTGCAGCCAAGTCACGGTTTAACCCGGCTCGCAATTTGGCGCAGGCGCCGGACAGCAGCCCGGTACGGGAAAGGGGAAAAGTTGCCACTTCCGGAAGCTGGGGTGGCGCAGGCGCCTCAGGGCAGCCCGGTAGGGGAGAGGGGGAAAAAGTTGCCACTTCCGGAAGTTAGGGTGGGAGGCGGAAACTTTGAAACTTCCAACGAGAACCACCCCTTCGTGGCTATTGCACGCACCGGAAGGGAGTCTAGCCGTTGGCCAGTTCTCCCAGTTAAAGGGACACAGCAATCCTTTTTTTTATCCCCAAGGCCTCGGAAAACTTCCGCCCACACCCAATATGGCGGGCGACGGGAGCGGGTAGAGTTCCGGGAATGTGGAGCAGAAGATCATTGGGAGGGAGTGGAGCCTCCTTTGCCCAAGTTTCGATCCCACCAGGACTGGATAATGCGCGTCCAGCTGGCGCTTTGTCGCATCTGTGTTGCAGTCCCTGCGCTCTTTGGGCGAGGAAGTCCCTTCGGGGAAGGAGAGTTAAGAGTTAAATGAGCCTCACACTGTCGTCCCGAATCAAGTCCCCAGATCACTGCCACCAGCCTGCTCTACACTGGGCGGTCAGAGACCGCTATTAGATGGGCGGCACTCAGGAATCTGGAATGGTTAGAGCCCAGAGACTGCTGGGACCCTAAGTGAAACCTCAGAGCCAGAGATCTACACGACAACGGGCATATTAGAACTGCAAGTCCCGGCATGCCCTGGAACACGAAAGGGACAACCTAATGCGATGCGTCTGAAACTACAAATCCCGACATGCCCTAGATAGCAGAAGGGGCAGGCGGGTATAGGTCCCGTCGCACCCCACACAGGCGCTCACCTTGAAGGAACCCTCAAACTCATCGCTCATCCTTCGGAGCTCGCGGCCGTAGCGCTGCGCAGCCCAGAGATTGGGGGGAGCCGAACGCGAGCGGCCCCGAAAGGGGCTGAGCTCCTCTTCCATCCCTTCATCCTCCTCGTTCCCCGCGGTGTATGAACTGTGGCGACTCCGGGTCTCCATAGCCCCAGTGCCTGCAGGAATCGCGGTGGAAGAAGTGTGAATCTCGACCTGTTCTTGCTTACACTCGCCTTCCAATAGCCCCAGTTCCTCCTTTGCGAATGAAGGACGCCTTTAGTGTACAAAAAGACTTTCTAGTCGGGCGATAGTGGCAAACTCCTTTAATCCCAGCACTCGGGAGGCAGAGGCAGGCGGATGTCAGTGAGTTCGAGGCCAGCCTGGTCTACAGAGCTAGTTCCAGGACAGCCTCCAAAACAATACAGAGAAACCCTGTCTCGAAAAAACAAAAACAAAAAAAGTTTCTACTGTGCCTTTCCAAAACAGAGGCATAAGAGATAGCTATCACATGGTCTCATAGCAACACCTAAGTAGGGAGGAGTCCTGCTCTGTCTTGGCAAGGGTCTTGGAGAACAAGAACTCTCTGCATTCTGTATTGCACCCTTTTTGTTTGACAGTGTCCAGAACTGTTTGTGTGTGTGTGTGTGGGGGTGTTTTTCTGAGACTATCTTCACCAACTGGTTCTACAGACTGATATAGAGGCTCGTCCTGGGCGTGGTGGTTCATATTTATAATTCCAGCACTGGTGAGGTAGAAGCAGGAGGTTGAGGAGTTCAAGGCCAGTCTCTACTACAGGAGACCATGTAGTCTTTTTTTCCCTCACAAATGGGGGAGTGGGAGGGACACAATACCTACACAGGTGTTCGGAGAAGTCACAAGTCCCTGGGTTTGGAACCCAGAGCCCATCAGGCTGTGCAACTCTTGGCTTTCCCAGCCACCCTTCAATTCCAAGTTAGGTTCCTGGCTTTATGAAGGGAGTCTCACCTTCCCTGCATACTAATGCACCTGTGTGAAGGTCACATCGGAGTGTAGCGGTGCCCCGTGAGCTGCAAATGAGTGATCTGCTTCTCTGATCTGGGTACTGTGTGCCATCCTGACTTCTGCCATCTGTACCTCTCTGTCCAGACCATTGAAGACCCAGAACCACTACTAGGGGCAGAGCCCATAGCTAGGCACAGCCTGCTGTCCACACCCAGGTGTCTGCAGGGAAAGCTTGGGAGGAGGTAAAATCACCCTCAGGTTTGGGGGCTGAAAAGTTTGCCTCCCTTTCCCAAAGGGCAATGGGCAGAACTCTGCAGCTCCGCCCCAGGCCTGAGGATCCCAGCTGCAGACATGTAACAGAAAGCCTGAGGGAAGGAGGGAACCATCGGGGGGCTGGGACTGCTCACAGCACCTGGCCAGAACATACCACGCCCATCTACAGAGTTCAGGGGACTACTCAGCAGCTAGGTGGTCCCCTTTTGTGACCGTGAACCCACTTCCCCAATTCCCTGGCACCTCAGTGTCTTTCTCTGTGGCTTGGAGACAGCTTGCCTCACAGTCACCATGAGAAGAAGTAAGACAGTAAAGCCCTCCGCCTTGTCCTGTGAGCTGCCACGCCTTCTTGGCTCCTGTATGGCAGATGTGGAGTTCTCCTACCTTACACATAAGGGAGCCAGAAGGAATATACCTGAGTCTCCTGGTGGTGCACCCTATCTGCACTGAATAATGGAATGGCAGTTCACCTGGATCCGAGCCCTAGACCCACAGATTTCAGGTGGTGTGCTGGCAGGAAGGTGAGCGACTTCCAGGTAGCCTTGGTGGGAGCTCACAAGGGCTGGTGAGACTGCTCAGCCAGTAAAGCTTCCAGTACAAGCCTGAAGACCTGAGTGGGAACCTTGGAATCTATGTAAAGGGGGAAGGAGAGAATGCCCTCTACAGCCAAGCGTTGGTGATGCATGCCTTTAATCCCAGCACTTGGGAGGCAGAGGCAGGTGGATCTCTGTGAGTTTGAGGCTAGCCTGGTCTACAGAGTGAGTGCCAGGACAGGCTCCAAAGCAATATGGAGACATCCTGTCAAAAAACAAGAAAAAGAAAAAAAACCTCCACATGCTGCCCTCTGAGCTGCACGGGCCAGGCACATGTGCTCCTTCCCCCAACAAATCTGCTTTCATGAACAGTGTTAAACCCTTGCTTAGCATGCTCAAGGCCCTGGTTCCGCCCACAGCACCTCACAAAAGAAAAAAAAATTGAGCAGTTTGGGCTGGAAGCTTTCTTTGTATTGATTAATTTACTTCTCAACTCATATTATTGGGGAAGCTCCTCAATTTACAGGGGATGAAACTATCCTCTCCAAGGTCACACAGTAAGTGACAAGGTGCAAACACAGGCAGTGTGACTCCAGTCTGTGTTCATCTCATTGTCCTAGCCCCGCTTCAACAGTACACAGTAGCCCAATTTGGAGAAGTCACTTTCTTCCTCCCCTGCGGGGTCAGCTATGCCAAGAGCTTATGCTGTGGCATGGATGTTTGTCAGTTGCTAAAGGTACTTAGCAAGGTCAAGCAACTCAGCAACAAAATAACACCCATTTGTGTCAAGAGACTTTCTATTGATTGATGAGACAGGCTCTCAGGTAGCTGAAATGCTGGCCTTAAACTTCTGGGCCTCTGCTCCCACCTCCCAACTGTAGTTTATGCGGTGCTGAAACTGGAAGTCAAGGCTGCACACACACTAGGTAGATACTCTACTGACTGAGCTGCATCTCCTGCCCCTGACTGGAATTTTTAGAAATATCTTTGCATTTACTGGAAAGAACCTGGAGATTCTGTGAACTCCTTGGATAAAGAGGGTGGGTGGGGTGTGTTCGATCCCTTAGGGGAAAGGATGGGTGGCTCCTCTCCGGGCGGATGCTCAGTCCTGTGGACTTATGCCACCATCCCAGACAGACTGGGGGTGGGGGAATGGGTGTGACTGAATGGGAAAATTCACAGTTCAATAAACATCCTGGCAAACTCCATTAAAACTGGTCGGAGTGCCTGATAATTTACGTCCAATCCCTGAGACCTAAACCAACTCTATGTCCTATACCCTTCCAAACACAGTGAGGCTCTGCCCTCGGGTAGGGCAGGCTACTGTGCCCCCTTGTCTCCATAGGCCTTCCCAGACTTGTGCTGTAGCCTTAAGGAAAGGCATTTTAGAGTTCCAATCTGGAGCCTCACCTGGCCCTGCCCTGGCCAAGTGTTCTGTCAGGGCCTCTATAACAACAGCCCAGCTTGCTCATAGCTGGAGTCATAGACAAAATATCCCCCAAAACACTGCTGTTCCCACCATCACTTTACTCAATAATACTGAAATATGAATTTCATATGATTTTTACCTGTTACAATAAAATATTATTTGTTTTTTTTAAAAAAAGCAGGCTGGTGGTAATGCACGACTTTAATCTCAGTACTTGGGAGGCAGAGGCAGACAGATCTCTGTGAGTTCAAGGACAGCCTAGTCTATAGAGTGAGTTTCAAGACAGCCAGAGCTGCACAAGGAAACCTTATCTTGGGGGAAAAAAGACCATTTGCTCCCTGGATTTTGTCAACCAACCATTTCAATAGGTAAAAACTGTTCCCAGCAGAATGTGGTAGCAAACGCCTTTAATCCAAGCCCTTGGGAGGTAGAAACAGATCAAGGACAGCAGATTGAGTTCAAGGCCAGCCAGGGATACTCAGAAAAGCCTTGTCTTGAAAAGACAAAACAAAGAACTGTTCCTGGAGGTGGTGCAAGTCTGCACTCCCAGCTACTTGCTAGTTAGCTGTCTGAGGCAGCAGGGCTGCTTAACCCCAGGAGTTTGAGGCCAGCCTGGGCAACACAGTGAGATTTTGTCTCAACAAATGTAACAAAGGCTGGGGATGTGGTTCAGTGATAGCGTTTGCCTAATAAGCTGGAGGCCCTGAATCATGACCTTAAAACCTCAAAACACAACAACAAAAATATTTCTAGCTCAGGAGCAGTGCAAAACCACAGGGATTTAGCCTGTGTCTGCGGTTTCCCAATCCTTGCTATGTCTACCTTAAACTTTGAATGGCTGTATTGAAGGAGTGCCTTCAAGTCACTTCTATCCCGAATCTAACCTATAACTCGTTTGCCATCCACGAACACTGGATGTTCAATGCCCTGGCTACTGATGGAAATTCAGGTCTGCAGAGCCTGAGCCAACTCACAGTAATAATGGCAAGCACAACTATGACAGTAGTAAGACACAAGGCCTCCATGGTACCTCGCCTGTGCCAGGCAGTTTCTAAGTATTGATCACATGACTCAGGTACCCTTACTGCAGGAACAGGTATAATCCCTTTACAGATTGGGAAATTCAGGCAGAAGCAGTTAACCTTTCAATCAGCACCTAAAGGGCCCTCCTCAGATGCTGTAGTCTGGTCCGTAGACCAGTATTGGCTGCTTCTCCCATTTTATGGCCTCCTTCCCTTCCCATGATGCAGTCTGTCCCAGGCATTGTACTGCAGTCCCCACCATAGGAATGCTCACAGCCCAGTGGGCATGGTGCGGGTAGCTGGCAGGAGAGGTAGGACCAGGTGAGCTGACTGCAGAGATGGCCAGAAGTTCTATGGCTCTGGCAGGTCTGACACTTGCAAATCTCTTCATGGAAGATCATCTGTGCTGTTTTGTTTTGCTGGAACAGGGCCTCACTAAGGAGTGTAAGCTGGCCTCAAACTCATCAGTGCATGGTGCTGAGATTATAGGTACATACTACCACACCCATTTCTGGAAACTGCTTTTGAGACAACTAAAAACTAAATCAAATGTTTATGACCCAACACACACACACACACACACACACACACACACACACACACACACAGAGGCTCAGGGAGTGTCTCCATGTAGACCCCTGCCTAGCATGGGAGGGCAAGGAAGCAAAGAGGGCATTCAGCTCTCTTCCCCATCCATGGCTGTTTCCCCCGGCAGCCCTCATCATAGCAGCTCTCTTTCAAAGAGCTGGAACTGAGTTGGGGTGCATCTCTTTTGGCTCCTTGCCATGCCTGCAGGCCATACTTCCACTGCCCTCCCTAAATCAGGTTTCAGAGCCTGACACTGCCCAACCCCATGCCTCAGGCTTGCCCATCTTGGACACAAAAACTCTGTGTTTATTGAACCCGAGTGGTCCTCCTGATCGCTGACTTCTTCATCTCCCTGTTCCTTCCTCTCCTCCCCTGACAATGTCCATCCCTCTTCCCAGTCTCTCATTCTACTGGCATAACCTAGACCCTGTCATTTATCAAATGACTCCATCCTAGCACGATGCCAGCCAATTGCCACCTCCTTCCTGTTGGAGCACCCCCTTGGTGTAGGTATAAACCCCAAGGCAGCTCTTCTCCTTGCCACTGGGCCAGCTCACTCCACAAGTACTATTTCCTCTTTGCATACACCCTCTAGCACCTCCTACCGCCTGTCTGTTACAAACCCTACTCAATCAACTCCCTACTGCTCTCACCAGTAGCCTTCTGGAATCCCACCTACATGTCTAACGTCATCTACCTGATGCCTGACCTTCCCCATCTCTCTTACTTACAGCTTTCAAGGGTGCTGGGTGTCTTCCTTAATACCCCACTCCCAGGCTGTCACTGTCTTCATTATAGATCTAGGCCTGGGGATGTGGCTCAGTAGAAGGGCACTTGCTCAGCATGTGCTGGGCCTTGGGTTCCATCCCCAGCACAGAAAGAAGGAAAGAAAAACATCTTCCTAGGATTCCAGTCAAAGTTTTTCTTACAATATCCTTCAAAGACCTGTACGACTGAATTGGACAGGGATCTACTTCCCTTCTTTACTTTCCCCACTTGGGGCCCTGCTACCCAGGAGCAATTCTTGTCCTAGCATCTCCTAACTTCCTCTTCTCTTTGTCTGCAACACCGGCATCAGAACAGCTCAGCTTTACCTATAGGATTGCTCCCTCCTAAGACAAGCCTGGAGACCTCAGTAGGTCAGTCATATAGCCCTGGACTCTGTTCTCTACCTACAACATCATCTCCTGAGCATAATCTTCTTATGGATCCTCTGTTAGTGGTTTGTTCCATGGATGAACAGGAGTTAGTGCAATTCAGGGATGACAAGGGCCAGCCAGGTAAGGGCAAAGAATGGATAGGAGCAGAAAGAGTGCAAGCAAGAAATCTGGAAGCTAAAAAGCGTGGTGAGCTGGAGAGATGGCTCAGAGCATTTACTGCTCTTGTAGAGGATATGAGTTCAGTTCCCAACACCCACGTGGGCAGCTCACAACCACCTACAACAGCTCTAGGGGAATCAATACTCTCTTCTGGACTCCAAGGCACCCACACTTACATACAAAGGCACACACACACATAAAATTTTTAAAAAGTATAAAATGCCAGCCATGTTGGCCCATCTGTAATCCCAGTACTGGGAGGTAGAGGTAGGAGGATTAGGAGTTCAAGGCTAGTCTCAATTGTACAGCAAATTTGAAGCAGCTCTGGGATACTCACGAGGCCTTGTCTCAAAAAAAAGGTGGGGGTCATTTAAGCTCTAGCAACCCTGGTGAGTGGACAGTACTGAAAGATAACCAGTATCATCCAGTGCCTCTCTTTCCATTTTGGCACTTACATCCTCCAACCCTCATACTGATTTTCTGTTTGTCACTTGGGTCACCTGCCTATCCCATTGGTACAACGACAGTCTTGCTGTGGGTGATCCATGGGGTAAGAAAGATCCTATTGGCTGGGAGGTAGTGGCACACACCTTTTTTTTTTTTTTTGGTTTTTCGAGACAGGGTTTCTCTGTGGCTTTGGAGGCTGTCCTGATCCCTGTGAGTTTGAGGCCAACCTGGTCTACAACAGCGAATTCCAACATAGCCTCCAAGGCCGAAGAGAAACCCTGTTTCAAAAAACCAAAAAAAAAAAAAAAGAAAGAAAGAAAGGGAACAGAAAGAAGAAGGAAGGAAGAAAGAAAGAAACGAAGGAAGGAAGAAAGAGAGAGAGAGAACAAACCTAAAATCTACTGGCCACTCGAAAGTCCTAACCCAGGAAGAACAGGTACCCAAGAACTGAGATCTTAGCCAAGCGTTGGTGGCACACGCCTTTAATCCCAGCACTTGGGAGGCAGAGGCAGGCAGATCTCTGTGAGTTCGAGGCTAGCCTGGTCTACACAGCGAGTTCCAGGACAGCCTCCAAAAAAAGAGCTGAGATCTCCCAGCACCTCTTTGGGGATCTGCTTGCCTCCCACTGATGTCTGCCTGGGGCCATAATAAGAGAGTCGGTTCTGAGCATTCATCGAAGCAGCTTGATTGTTAAGGGCATGCCATACATTTCTGTGAATTAATCCAATGGTTACAAAGATAGTGCAACTGGTTTGTAGGAGAGGCAATTTGAGGCTCAGAGCTATCTGAGACTTCCCCCAGAGTAGTCAGGAAGTATGGCTGCAACAGGGATGCAAGGGGTAACTGACTGGGGGACAGCGGACAGGCAGATGATGGTGGTGGGAAACCTACCTCCATGATGACTGCTGTTGGCTGCCTGTTCCTGTTGGTGTCTGATGTTCCCCAGGAGACCTGGAGCCAGGCAGGGACCTGGTGGGTCCCCAGTGAGGCTAGGGCCCAGGCCCCTATCTGCAGTATTGGAGTCTTCCTGCTCACTCGGCTCAAACTCTGGGATCTGGAACATACTCTGGGCTGTAGAGACAAAGTAAGAAGTACTCAGGGCACTGCTAGGCAGTGATAGTGAGAAGCAGGGAGAGGTGCCCCGGCTCGTACATACACACACACACACACACATACACACACACATACACACACACACGAGGCCCACCAGTCTTCCCAAGCCCTCATCTGTCTGCTGGGTCTGGCCTGGTGTCCCTGGGATACTAAATCTCTCTTCAGAGCTCTGTCCAGGCCCTGGTGCGTCCCGCTTGCCCGTTAAGACCGCGAATAGGTCTCACCCCAAGCCCGATCTCGAGGCCCCTGAGCCAGGCCTGCCTCCTCCCTCTAGTTCTAAAGGCGCCCGGTCCTAGTTTCCTGGGCAACAGGAACTGTCACAGATCTGACCCAATCAATTCTCGAAGTAAATCCCGGGTCGGCCCGGAGGCGGGGCCTTGCCAAGCCAGGTCCCACCCCTGCAGTCGACCTGCTGGTCTTCGCCGCCTTCCTCCCGCGTCGTTCCCCAGGCTTCGGATTCCGGGATCGGACTTCCTCACGCCTAGGGCGTGTGCAGGAGCCAGCGAGGGCTGTTTTGGGGTTCCCATTTGGATCCTGGAGGCCTGCTTCGGCTGATAAGTCCTCCAGCTCCTCTGGTCCCGAGTTCCCTCCTGTAAAATGGGGCTAATGACACCTCCCTGGGGAGCTGGTGAAAACTCTGTAAACAGTTCAGTGATTACTATGGGCGAAAGCACTTATAGAGCCGTTCGTTGAAGCTCGGCCGTCGGGTGCAATGATCATTGCGATAGTTATTGCTGTCCCTGGACTGAGTGACAGGGATGGGGAGGCCGGCTCCTTCCTCCTCCCTGTCGTGGAGGCCTCGCGCTGCCCGACTCGGGGACAACCCACCGCGCCATCTCGGGAGCTCCTTCCAGGCAGGATGGCCGTCGGGTGCGGGAGAAGGGACAAGGGCACCCAGGAGGGCGAGCCGCGGGGCTCTCGGGGCCTCGGCTGCTAGGTGTGCGCAAGCGGCGGCAGGCCGAAGCGCTGGGGCCTGCGGATAGAAGCTAGGGGGCGGGGCCGGGGTGCCATCTTGGTTGTGGGCGGAAGTTTCCTTCAGCGACCCTGTGCGCGGATGTCGTTGCCGCCCCCATATGGGCTCCCTGAACCCGATGTGGGCTTGGGGATCTAAGGTTGGGAAATAGTGGTCTCCCAAACATTAAGAGCTGGCGGCTCAGGACACGGGTAACCCGGGTGCATGTTTGCGTGCCGCCTTGTCTCCGCCTCTTGGCCTCCCGCCGCCCTCCGTAACCCCGGACGCCCGCCGGCTGCGCACCTTGCGCTGATTCTCGAAGATCTGCACGCCGGGCGCGGCGCATGGCTTCGGAATCCCATCGGCAGCTACGCAGTTTGCGTGGCGAGCGGACACCCGCGCAGGCGCAGGAGTGGGGCGGAGCAGCGGGAGCCGGGGAGCTGGAGCCCGGTGTCCGGGAGACCGGATCCCGCTTCCCCAGCAGCGGCCTGAGGACCTGACATCGACTTCCTCTTATTCACCGGGGCTGAGGGTGGACGCGGTGGGGGAACAACGTCTGGAATCTTGAGGACAGAGGAAGAAGCCCCCCCAATCCGGATTATTGGAGGGGAAAGAGCCACCAAGCGTGGGGAGGGGGAGAGCGGGGCGTTGGGCGCCCCCGCAGCGGCCGCTGTCCTAAGCTGACGGGCATCGGCCGGCTCTCCCCCTCCTGCCAGCCGGACACGAGCGACCAACGCCAGGGACTTTTTGTACCACTGCATCCTCCCATCTTGGCTCTGGGGCTGGCCCAGGGAGCGACACCCCCAACCCCCAGTCCATTTGCCCTGGGTAGGAAAGAGTATCCTTACACACTCCAGAGTGAGGGGTCCAGGGCCTAGGTTACTCGTGCCCATCCCCCGCCCCCATTTCTGTTTAGGAGGAAAGGCCTGGCGACCCCAACTTCTTTCACGCTTCTGCAGTTCCCAGCCCTCCGTATTTCTTTCCCTGGCTGCTGACCAGCTCTCCATCTCTGTCTCCTGGTTTCAGACCTCCTTCTTTGACATGGAGAGTAACCTGTCTGGCTTGGTGCCTGCAGCCGGGCTGGTTCCTGCACTCCCACCTACAGTGACCCTGGGGCTGACCGCTGCATACACTGCCCTGTACGCTCTGCTCTTCTTCTCTGTCTATGCCCAGCTCTGGCTGGTGCTTCTGTATGGGCACAAGCGCCTCAGCTATCAGACGGTCTTCCTGGCACTCTGTCTGCTCTGGGCAGCCTTGCGTACCACACTTTTCTCTTTCTACTTCCGAGATACTCCCAGGGCCAACCGCCTGGGGCCCTTGCCTTTTTGGCTTCTCTATTGCTGCCCTGTCTGCCTGCAGTTCTTCACCCTGACGCTTATGAACCTCTACTTTGCTCAGGTAACCACGGGACTGGTGTGGGGGGAGTAGGAGGGCGAGCTCAAGGGCCCAAAGGAGTGATGGGTGTCTCTGCTCCCAGGTGGTGTTCAAGGCCAAGGCGAAGCGTCGGCCAGAGATGAGCCGAGGCTTGTAAGTACTGGAGACGTTAATGGGTCAGTGGCAGGGAGGAGCCCCCCCAGCAGGGTTGAGACAAGAACTCCAGGAACATTTGGGATAGAGCTTGGGGAAACTAGAGCACTTGGTGCAGATAGCTGTGACGGTGTCAGTGGGGAGAGAGCACCTTCATCATCCACGGTGGGAAACACAGCAGCTCCGATCCATGGGATATATAAAGTCCTGCTGCACTTCTAGTGACCTTGGCTGCACTGCCCCTGTCCTTTCCATATTTTCCCATCTCATCAGAGATACTGTTCTTCTTCTCATTTGAGAGATGAAACTGAGGCCCAGCTAGATAAAGCAATGTATTCAAGGTCACACAGCTGGGAGGAGATCTAGTCAAGGCTCAGATCCAGATGTTTGACTCCCTAACTGGTGCTCTTTCTAAGATGTCATAGCTTTCAATCACCTCACCTCTTCAAGTCAGTTTCCTCATATGCAAAGCTAGACGAGCAGAGTTTGGATGGGACCATCTGGGCTCTGGCTGACCTGGGGTCTTCTGAGGAGTCAGGGTGGCTGGTGAGGGCCAAGGAGATTCACGGTCTGGGGCTGACTTTGCTGTGGGCTGCAGGCTGGCTGTCCGCGGGGCCTTCGTGGGTGCTTCACTGCTCTTTTTGCTGGTGAATGTACTGTGTGCAGTGCTGTCCCGCCAACGCCGGGCACAGCCCTGGGTCCTTCTGCTGGTACGCGTCCTGGTGAGCGACTCCCTCTTCGTCATCTGTGCCCTCTCGCTTGCTGCCTGCCTCTGCCTCGTCGCCCGGCGAGCCCCTTCCACTAGCATCTACTTAGAGGCTAAGGTAGGGCCACTAACCCTGATGTAGTATCCTTGGGGATCTTTGGACAGAGGTCTTTAGGATGTAAAGGAAGATGGAAGCTTCCTTTTCCTGAAGATCCTCTATTGTTGTCTCTACCAGGGGACCAGTGTGTGCCAGGCGGCTGCCATTGGGGGTGCCATGGTCCTACTCTATGCCAGCCGGGCTTGTTACAACCTGGCAGCTCTGGCCTTGGCCCCTCGGAGCCGGCTAGATGCCTTTGATTACGACTGGTACAACGTATCTGACCAGGTAGGCATTGATCATGTTTGTCCCTTTTTTAGTAACGATAGTATCTAGCCTCTAGCTGGCCAGGGCCCTGCCAGCGTGGTATGTATGGTGGCAGACTGTCCTCAGCCTCTGCTTTTCCCCAGGCAGACCTGGTGAATGACCTAGGGAACAAGGGCTACCTGGTGTTTGGCCTCATCCTCTTCGTATGGGAATTGCTGCCCACCACACTGCTGGTGGGCTTCTTCAGGGTACACCGGCCCCCGCAGGACCTGGTAGGGCCCCCAACAACCTCTAGGTCCAGTGGAGAGGGCTGCACCCTGGGAATTCTAGCCTGGAGTCCTGGGACAGTTATGGGGGGAAAATCCATTGTAGCAACTTCTCCCCCCACACCTACAGAGCACCAGTCGAATCCTCAATGGGCAGATTTTTGGCTCCCGTTCCTACTTCTTTGACCGGGCTGGGCACTGTGAGGATGAGGGCTGCTCCTGGGAGCATAGCCGGAGTGAGAGCACCAGGTAGGAGCCTCAACCCTGCCTGAGAGGTCTTGGGGTCCTGCCTGCCTCCATGAGGCAATGGGGACCGAGATACAGGCCTTGTTTCCTCAGTTTGTTCTGAGTGAAGCCCACCCTGCTTCTTAGCAGTTTGCCCTTTGACGTAGGGCTCTCTGTTTTCAGCCTCTCTGCTCCCCCATCTCATGAATGTGACCCTGGGCACTACCTGGGACTCCTGGAACTTACCTTGCTTCTCTGTCTGCAGCATGTCTGGCAGCCTGGGCTCTGGCAGCTGGTATGGTGCCATCGGGCGTGAGCCAGGCTGGGGTGGGGCCAGCCAGACGAAGACCACTCCTCTGCTCTTCTCCCAGGTGCCAGGACCTGGTGGCCACCATCACAGCCTCTATTCCACACCACAGACATGATCTCCTTTTACTTCCCTTAGAGCACCCAGGCCCCAGCTCTCCTTATCCCCGGCCTCTGTGCCAAGTACACCTGCTGCTTCTTGCCCAGGATGCCAGGGGACTGTGGCTGCTTCTCTCCTCTGGCCAGCTCCTTGCTGCTCCTACTGTAGTGAGCTTGTGCCGTTCCCCTAAGGTAGGGACAAGGCCCCCAGGCTGCCAGATGCCCACGGTGCCCTGGCATGACCTGCTGCCTCTGCTTCCACACTGGAGCCAGCTACCTCTCCTGTGCCTACCACTCAATAAACAGAGTCTGTGCCCTGTCCCTTCATCTTTCACTTGTCTGAGTTCTGTTCCTTCTTACCTTGGCCTGTTTGGCATCAGGCTGATCAAACACTGGCCCTTGACATGGCTTGCTAGACTGGGCAGGTGCCACTCACCGTCATAGGGCTAGCAGGCATGGAGTGGAAGAGGGACTGCACAGGCCTCTGTTGTCAAAGCTTTCCTTGTTCTGAGTAGCTTTCCCTGTGTTGCCCAGCCTGACCTGAAATTCTTGGGCTCCAGTGATCCTTCTGTCTTAGTCTCAGCTCAAATAGCTGGGGCTAGAGGTGTGTGCACCTGTCCTGATTGAATCGCCTCCAGCTGGGTGGTGGTGGTGGTGGTGGTGGTGGTGGTGGTGGTGGTGCACACCTTTAATCCCAGCACTTGGGAGGCAGAGCTCCTCTGTGAGTTTGAGACCAGCTTGGTCTACAAGAGCTAGTTCCAGGGTAGCCTCCAAAGCCACAGAAAAATCCTGTCTCCAAAAACAAAAAAGAAGAAGAAAAAGAAGAAAGAAAGAAAGAAAGAAAAATCACCTCCACAGGCAGAGATGTAGCTTCATTGATTACTTTCCAGTAATGTCCAGTGCCAGGGGTTGAATCTCAGAAGGGGGCAGGAAATCAAATCTCCATGAAACTTTCTGCTGGTTGTGCAGAGAGTCATACCCCTCTCCCAGACCACACAGCACTGTAATTGTGTGGCTTTGAGAATCTGTTAAACAATTGCATTATGAGCTGGAGAGATGGTTCAGAGGTTTAAAAATGTATTACAGCTGGGCAGTGGTAGTGCATGCCTTTAATCCCAGTACTCAGAAGGGAGAGGAGGGCTGGATGGTGGTGGCTCACGCCTTTGATCCCAGCACTAATATGGCAGAGGCAGGCAGATCTCTGTGAGTTCATTGGCAGCCTGGTCTACAGAGTGAGTTCCTGGACAGGAGGGCTACACAGAGAAACCCTGTCTAAACAAAACAAAATGGTATTACATTTCTCGTGTGTGTGTGTGTGTGTGTGTGTGTGTGTGTGTGTGTGTGTGTTTATACAGAGGCAGTCCTCTTCTCCTATCATGCAGGTCTGGGGAGCGAACTCGGGCAGCAAGTGCCTTTGCCCACTAAGCATCTCACCAGCCCTCTAACTTGCTTGTTTTGAGTCAGGGTTTCTCTGTGTAGCCCAACTGTCCTGGAACTTGCACTATAGATCAGGGCGGCCTTGAACTCACAGAGATTTATCTGGCTCTGCCTCTCTAGTGCTGAGATTAAAGGAATATGCCATTATGTCCAACTAACTTTTATTTTTAAAGTGGCATGTATTTGTGTGTGTGTGTGTGGACAAGTACTTGTCACAGCACATATGTGGGATCAGATGACAATTTATTAGTTGGTTCACTCCTTTAACCATATGGAACAAGGGACAGAACTTATGTCATCAGGCTTGGTGGCAAGGACCTTTACCTGTTTAGCCATCTCATTGACCCGTTTTCAGCTTTTTGAGACAGAGACTTTGTAATGTAGCTGAAGATGACTTCGAACTCCTGACACTCCTGCCTCTAGCTGTCAGCTGCTGGGATTACAGGCGTGTACCATCATGTCTACCTAGCTTGTTTGGCATCTTTTTTCTCCCTAAGATTTATTTTTACTTATATATAGATGTATCTGTACCTGCGTGTGGTGCCCAAGGAAGTCAGAAGAGGGCATCAGATCCCTTGGAGAGTTAGAGGCCATTGTGCGCTGCCAGGGCTGGAAACTGAACTTAGGTCTTTTGGAGGAGGAGCAGTAAGAGCTGTTAACCACTAAGCCATCTCTACAGTCTGCTGGGCATCTTGTTTTCTATTGGATTAAGTTTTGTGGAGACCTAGTTCCTTTAATACTCAGTTATTTTCATTGTGGGTGTGCATGCATGAACACTCATACAGGTATGGAGCCAGGGAAACCCATGGGGTTCCAGGACTCAAACTTGGAATTTCAAGCATCCTTATGCATCACTGAGTAATCTCACTGGCCAGAAGCTGGGATTCTGTCACCACCTCTACTGCAGCTTTCAGGTGTCAGGAGATGTTGCTGTGGCATGGCCTCCATCTCCTCACTTGGGTATGGGCTCCCCTGATTGCCTGGCCACTTGTGGTCAGCTCCTGGTGCACTCCTACTGCCCCCAACAGTTTAGCTCATGCCCTGTGCTCCTGACAAGACATCCAGGCAGATCTGTCCTGTGGCTCAGGATTGCTCATCAGAGCCTGTGACTCCTGTCCGTCACCCGGGTGATTCCAGCTCCTCGGGGATCTCAGTCTAACAATGAGTCTGCCTTGATGCCCTTTCTTTGGGACCATCCTGAAGCCAGGTCTGCAAGGTCTCCAGAGAGAACAGCAGAGGCTCAGGGTGTCACTAGTAAGCTGAACAATCACTTTGGTTGGAAGCAAAATTGCTAACATTTATAGGGCACTTAATTGTGTATGCCAGGCTTTGAGCATTTATAAACCCTGACCTCTTAAACACTCCAATCAGCACCCAGAGAAAATGATTTTACTATCAGTGGGAACAGGAAGACTCTAGAGAATCTGGTAACCTGCCCTAGGGCCCCTACCATCTGGGGTGGTCACCTTAAACTCTAAGCTTAAAAGTACTGACCATCACCACTAAACCTGTCATGGTGACACACAACTTTAATCCTAGCACTCATAAGGCAGAGACAGGTGAAGCTCTGAGTCAGGCCAGCCTGGTCTACAGAGTAAGTTCCAGGACAGCCAGGACACAGATAAACCCCAACTCCAAAAAAGCAAAACAACAAAAAGTACTGAACACAAAGCCATAGGATCTGGGAAGTTGCAGAAAAGACTGTGGAGATCAGGAAAGAAATGGCTGGGAACGTGAACAGGGAAGGGCAGAGACAGGATAGGACCCAGTCTTAGCTGTTCAGAAAATGCCAGCACTCTATTCTGCCTGCTGGGATTGGCAGGCAGCAGTTGGCCCCCCGGAGGCTGACTCCGGGGCCTGGAGGATCAGAGCTGGGGATGCTGCCAGAGGAGCAGGAGATGCTCCATCAGTGACTTCCCAGAGCTCAACCCCAACCCATATAGCTGGTTAAATCCAGGTAGCCTCAAAGCGATATCCCCGCCCTCCACCCCCACCTACCCCTTTCTCCCTGAGTGCCTCTTCCTCATAAGTGCTGAGCCCAAGGGCCAGACTATTCCCATGGGCGGAGAAAAGAGGGTTCGTCCCAGTCCAGTAATAGACCTAGAAGATTCCAGGAGATGAGTGTGGCAGCTGCCCTGAGCCCTGGGCCAACCGATGCCCAGGTTAGGGCAGCACTGGGGCTCCGATCCCAGCCTGGAAGGTTGGACTCCGCGTCGACCCCCCTCTGGCTCTTCTGCCACTCACTGGCCACGACAAGTCAGGATTGGGGAGCCCAGAGGGTGCAGGTAAAGGGCTGGGTGCAAGGCGGATGGCAGCAAGAGCTGGTGGCGAGGGTGCGGCACGTAGGGAGACGTAGCTCTGGTAGGGTTAAGCGCCCGGGGAGGGGGTTTTTGACGGTGGAAAAGGGGGGGGGTTCCCAGCCTGAAGGCTGTCGGCTCAGTCCCCCCGGCTGCCACCATTTCGGTGGCCCAGCTCGTACCCGCACGCGGCGGCGCGGGAGACCTGGCCGCAACGGAAAGCCGCAGCCGCAGAGGGGGCAGACAGTAAGTGCGGAGCAGGCGCGCGGAACGAGGGTTGCATATCGGGCCTGGGAGCTGGGAGGCGACTGGCAGGCAGGACGGGACACCCACCTCCCGCGCGTGGTTGCCCTCCTCGAGTGGTGTGACCGTGCGTCCCGTCGCAGGTCACGCTTGGAGGCGTCGGCGTAAGGACGCGGGGGAGGTGGTGGGAGCAAGTGGCTGGCGTGCGGTGTCACGCGGATCTGGTGTGTGTGTGTGTGTGTGTGCGTGTGTGTGCACACTCGTGCGCGTGGACCTCTAGGGTGGCTCGGCACGGCGGGCACGCCCATAGTGGTCAGTTGTGCCGTGGTCTGTCGGAGTGTGGTGCAGTGCTATGCCTGCAACCTGGGCAGTTTGCGGCTAGAGTTAAGGGGTGGAGTGTGGGACAGTGGGTCTTGGTGGCTCTTGGCAGTCAGTGTGTGTGTGTGTGTGTGTGTGTGTGTGCGTGTGTGTGTGTGCGCGAGCGCGCGCGCGCCTCCCATCTCCTGCTGCTCCCTAGGTGACAGCTGTTCCGTGGGCTGCAGTATCCATGCTGCCCTTCCCACCCTGTGCCTCTTCCGCTTCTTCCGGGAACCTGATGCCCACCCTTCCTTTCCCTGGCTCTGGGCCCTTCCTCTACCCTGCAGCCAGATCTGAGTTCCTCGAAAGCCCAGCGGGCAGGTGGGGACCCTGGAGGATCCCTGCCCGGCTAATCCCTGCTAGCCTGGGTTTGGGAAAGGCAGGAGGAGACACATGTATACGAGGAGGCTGCCACAGCAAAGTTGGGAGAGCCAAGTATGGACCTGCTATTCCTGTCTCTTGTTTCACCGGCCCCAGCCTCTCCTCCTGTGTTGCCTTGGAACGCCCAGGTCTTCCCTTGGTCTTCTCCAAGACCAGCTCCCTATGCCTCACAACTCCCCACATTTCCCACTCACCCAGCCTCTACTGAGACTGTCTTATTGTCTCCTTCTTCCTCCCACTCTCCTGATGGTTAGGCCCCAGAGGTAAGAGGGAGGCTGGAGGTGGGGGCCTAGGTGTTAGTACCTGGAACTAGGGTCTAGCTAGAGGATGGGTGGTTACATCCATGGACAATAAATCTGGGGGTTCCAAAACCTTGGGGAGTCTAAGATAGGAAAGGAGGATGCGGGTATAAGATCTCTTCTTAACCCCATAATCCTTGGTTTGGCCTGCAGTGACCACTGCTCCCCAGGAGCTCCCTGCTCCTCCTCCCCAGGCAGGAAGCAGAGCTGGACCTGCCTCTGCAAGGGCCATGCGCAGCACCACACTCCTGGCCCTGTTGGCACTGGTGCTGCTTTATTTGGTATCCGGGGCCCTAGTGTTCCAGGCTCTGGAGCAGCCTCACGAGCAGCAGGTTCAGAAGCAGCTGGAGGATGGCCGAGACAAGTTTCTGAAGGACCATCCATGTGTGAGCCAGGAGAGCCTGAGGACATTCATGAAGGTGGGTTGGCAGAGTGGGCCAGCAGTGGGGTCCTGCTCAGGATGCTGCTTCCAGACATATATGAGGACTGGGTGCATCTGGGGATGCTGAGCAGGAGCTGGGATCCAGGTGTTTGTTTTCAATATGCTGGCCATGTTGTTGTTGCTGCTTGTCTTTGCTGTGCTCCTGGAATGTCTGCTGCCCTGTGTGATGGTGATGAAGGAAGGGGAAATGAACAAACAAATGAAGGGAATGAACGAATGAATGGCTGGAGCACATGGGATGTTACATTTGTACAATTCTAACATCATTAGGTCCCCAGACAAAATCCTAGAGTCACATGTGACTTTCAGCTAACCAGCCAAATTCAAATATATCCCTGGTAATGATTTTTTGGTTTTTTGAGACAGGAGCTTGCTATGTAGCCCTGACTGGTCTGGTACTCACTGTGTTACACAAACTGACCTTGAACTCTGGACTGTCTTGTCTTGCCTCAGCCTCCAGAGCACTGGGATTTCAAGTCTGAACAACCATACCTGGCTCCCTGCAGAGTTTTCACTTGCTAATGTTGGCTGCTCCTCCTATGCTTTTTTTTTTTAGTTCAGATTTTTTTTAATTTATTTATTATGAATACAACACCCTGCCTCCATGTACACATCAGAAGAGGGCACCAGATCTCATTACAGATGGTTGTGAGCCACCATGTGGTTGCTGGGAATTGAACTCATGACCTCTAGAAGAGCAGTCAGTGCTCTTAACCTCTGAGCCATCTCTCCAGCCCTAGTTCAGTTGTTTTAGAGAACCCTGAGAATATCATGAACACCTCCCCTGTGTCCCCAAGTTTGCACGTAAACAAGAACAGATGGTTTTTAGAGGGCTTCTGTTCCTACCACTGTGGATGCCAATTCAGGAGTCCCTCTTGCTTAGTCCAGCAAGTGGGAAAGGTGTGGGTATCAGTCTTCCCAAGCTGCTTTTGATTAGTTTCCATCCAGCCACTAAGGAAGGCTCTGGGCTTCAGCCTTCATGGGTCTAGGTAGTGAGCTTTCGTGTTCCTTCATTTGATTTCCCAGTCACTGTTCTGGAAAGCTCTGGTTTAACTTTAATAAATTAACAATTCTCATTTGGCAAAGAGTATGCCCCATTCCCTGACTGTTCTTTTAGAGGGTCTGCATGTAAGCCTCAGAGTTCCAACTGATTCCTAAGGTGGAGGAGCCGGTGCAAAGATGCTGGTAGAGTGATGGTCTCTCCCTATTCCAGAAATCAGGGCAAGCTTTGCTCAGAAGTGCCTGGGAGGAAAGTGCCTGGCCAGACCACAGGGCAGAGGGAGGGAGGGAGTCTGACCTATTTATCTTCACAATGGAATTGCTGTATTCTGGGATGAGAGAAGGAAAGGAGACGGGGAGCCTAGGAGGGTGGGTGACTCGCTGCTTTGCTTCTCTTCCACGCCAAGAGCTGCTCCCTGAATAAGTGGGTCCTGCAGCAATTATATGCCTATGTGTGCTGTGTGTGTGTGTGTGTAGAGGTACAAATATTGGGGTGAAGCAAATGGGGCTTCTCATTGGAGGGTGTCACATCTAAGGCACAGATCCAGGGACAGGCAGACCACCGTAGGAAGTCATGGAAAGGGAGACTACCTTCCTACTGATTGCTGGGCTTTGGGCTGTGTTCTGGGAATGAAGGGAGATGCAGAAGCTTTGGAGAGAGCTGGCAGTTGGAAAGTACCAAATGAGAGGGACAGAATTTATAGTGTGGGGACAAGCAACTCCCAAGCAGAGGAACAGCATGACAACAGAGGGGAAGCTGGTGAGCTAAGAGTGTGTAGCAGAAACTGGAGAGAGCAGATGCCTGGTCATTGAAACAAAAGGTAGAACACACTGGATGATGAAGGATTTGGGGGATGTGGGGAGAAGATGCAAAATAAAAATTAAGTCACTGGGGCTGGTGAGATGGCTCAGAAGTTTGGAGTACTTGCTACACTTGTAGGGGACCTGGGTTTGGTTCCCAGCACCCACACAGTGGCTCATAACCATCTGTAAGTCTAGATTCAGAGAATCTGGCACCCTTTTCTGGCCTCTGTGGGCACCAGGCATGCACATGATGCATATACATACATGCAAGAAAATAAAACAAATATATAAATCTAAAAAAAATTAACTCACTTTTAATCAGACATTTCATCTCTTTATTCAAAAGGCCATTATTACAGAAAATGGAATTATCTCAGAGAATCTGGGGAGAAGGCTGCTGTATTTTGGGGTGCAAAATCAGAATCTCATGAGTAAAGGTCAAGACCAGTTTGGAAAAATGCTTGTAGCTCACACCTGTAATCTCAGCTCTCAGGCTGAGGTAGAAGGACTACTGTGCATTCCAGGATAGCTTGGGCTAGTGAGTCAGACCCTGTCTCTCAAAACAAAAGCAAACAAACCTCCAATAAGAGAGAGGGGCAGGGGCTGTGGCTCAGTTGGTTGAGTAATTGCCTAGCATGCTGCAGGCTTGGGTTGCCTCTCTAGCACTGCCAAGACTGGGCAGGGCAGGGTAGCTCACACCTGTAAAGTGAACATTTAGTAGAAGCAAGAGGATCCTTGACTACATAGCCTAGATAATAAGAAACCCTGTTCACCCCTCAAAAATAATAAATGCTGAGCTAAGGAGTCTAGACTCTTCTGACAGATTGAAGCCTTGAGGGTTTCTAGCAGTTATTCCAAGGAGGATGAACTTGGAGTGGGTCTTGATAGTGGGGACTGTCATCAGGGGGATGAGACAGACTGCCAACCTCCCTGTGGATTCTCCCCTTGCTTAGTTTGGGGAAGGGCCCTTTGTCACGTCGTCTTCTGGGTGCTCTGACATCCCAGCACCCAGGACAAGCTCTTTCCAGACACAGACTTCCCCTGGGGAATCTGCAGACAGGCAAGAAAGGCATGGCCCTGGCCCTTCACTCATTCAGTCATGCTCACTGAGCACCCCATACGAAGCACTGGGTTTGGCTTTGATGCTATGAGGTGGCATGTGTACACAAGCACAGATATATAAACATCCTAAAATCTGCCACAAAATCTGATGGAGAGAAGTGAACTTTTCAGGAGGGAAGGTCTTACCTTTCAATACATTGTTTAAAGGCCAGTCACTCAGACTCACTTTCCACAGGAGCAGTGGGAGTGGTGGAGTCTTCAAAAACAAACAAACAAACAAACAAACAAACAAACAAACCAGGAACTCACAGGACATAAAGACCATGTGGGAAATTACCCAGCAAATACCCAGTGTTTATTCTTCATGCCAAATCTATGGTATTGGTGCTCTGACAATCACCCCCATGTGACAGAGGAGGAAACTGAGGAACCACACATTAATTTGCCCAGAGTGGCCAAGATTGAACCCAGGCACCTGCTCCCAGTATTTGTGCTCCTGACAGTAAAGTCAGGAATCTGTCATGCCAAGTCAGTTATGGTGGCTTTATGCTTGTAATTCTAGCACTTGGGAAGCTGAGGCAGTTCCAGCCTGGATTACACAGCAGGGCAGCTTGGAATACATAGTGACATGCTGTCTCAAAAAACCAACCACAAAAGGATAGGTAGGTAGAGAGACTGAGAGAGACATTGTCAAAAACCAAAACCAAACAGGAGGAAAGGAAAGAAGTGATACACAGCCAGTAAGCTATGTACAGAAGGGGGAGGGCTGGGAGCTGGCCCAGCCAGAGGGAAGGACTGAGGTTCCTCCTTGTGCGCCTTGTCCTGCAGCTCGTGGCTAAAACCCTGGGAGGGGGTGCAAACCCAGACACCAGTTGGACCAATAGCAGCAACCACTCATCAGCTTGGAACCTGGGCAGCGCCTTCTTTTTTCTCGGGGACCATCATCACCACCGTCGGTGGGGGAGGAGATGGGGCATGTGGAGGGAGGCAAGGGGCAAGGAGTTTCCCTGTGGGGGAAGGTGCAGGGAGAGGTAATGGGTGCCAGATGGCGCCTAGATTTCCTGCACTGCCCCTCTATCCAGGCTATGGCAACACAGCCTTACAGACAGATGCCAGTCGTCTCTTTTGTATCTTCTATGCACTGGTGGGAATCCCGCTGTTTGGGATGCTGCTGGCGGGGGGTCGGGGACCGGCTGGGCTCCTCTCTGCGGCGGGGCATCGGCCACATCGAAGCAATCTTCTTGGTGAGCTGCACTGTGCCCCTCATAGGGTACTCTTCCCTAGGGTCTTGGCATGTGAGTGTACACTCCTAGAGAGCCTCACAGTAAGTCAGGATGGGGGTAGGGTGGGGTGGGGAGAATGGGATTGGAGGCTACTGGTGTCTCCATGGCCCTATCTATTGGCCCTCCCCGCAGAAATGGCATGTGCCACCTGAGCTGGTGAGAATACTGTCTGCGGTGCTCTTTCTGCTGATTGGCTGCCTGCTCTTTGTCCTAACTCCTACCTTCATGTTCTCCTATTTGGAGAGCTGGAGCAAGCTGGAAGCCATCTACTTTGTCATAGTGACACTTACCACCGTGGGTTTTGGCGATTATGTGCCTGGTGAGGCTAACTTTGCCCAGCATTTTTCTTAACTACTTTATTCCTGCACTCTGCCTATGCACTACTGAGGGGCATTTGCCCCAGCTTCCACACCCATCATGAAATGCAACATGGTGTTCCAGCAGGCAGCACCTAATGCCCACTTACACCTTGTATGCCTGAGTCCCGTGCATGCTCATTCATATATTAAGTTCACCCCCCTTGCATGCTCTTATTATGCACAATTAAAACTCGTACACATTCATACTGCATACATCACCACACTCTAGCACATCCCCCCTTTTTTTCTGGGGAGGATACTCTCTCAACAAGGTGCAGAAACCGGCAATGAGCCAGAGGCTCACACATTTGCCTCCTGGCCCTGTCAATTTATTTTTCCCTCCCTGTGAAATGTCTAGGCAATAGCCTCGGGCAGAACTCAGCCTACCAACCTTTGGTGTGGTTCTGGATCTTGTTCGGCCTAGCCTACTTCGCCTCGGTGCTCACCACCATCGGCAACTGGTTGCGAGCAGTGTCCCGCCGCACACGGGCAGAGGTAGGCTTCCTGGCTCTGTTCTCTGCGCATGCGCCACGCATGTCACTTGCGTGTTGTACCTTTAGCAGCTGGTTGACTAGCCAGACTCCCCTTCAAAATATGGGTGCCTCGGAAACTGAGACTCAGAACGTGAGGTACTGGGAACAATGAGAGTAAATTCAGGTTTGTCAGGGACTTGACCCCTCGGCCTGCATGGATAAGGTTGCCAGGGTTAGTAAATAAAAAAGCAGAAAGGCGGGGTGATACATGTCTGTAAATCCCAGCGCTTGGTAAGCAGAGCAGAGTCAGGAGGATGGTTGCGAGTTCAGACCTGCCTGGACTATAGAATGAGACTCTATTTCAAAAACAACAAAACTAGGAAAGCCAGTTACATGTGAACATGTTGTTCGGATGAACAACAAATAAGATTTTAGAACATGCCCCAAATAGTGTATGAGACATACTGATACTAAATTTTGTGATTTTTCTGAAACCTTCATTTTGCTAGTCAATTACAGAGAGGCAACGAAGGTTGAAACAAAACTGGGACTTTCTAGAAAGGTTCCTGGAGAAGGGTGCATCCGGCCAATGCAGGAAGGGACAGTATGCCTGTGGCATCAGGCTGAGGCTCGAGGACCAGGTGAAAAGATGGATGCGATTGGTTAAGGGAAAGTTCCCGAAGTTGCAGTCGGCAGACATCCTTTCCTTTCTGTGCAGATGGGTGGCCTCACGGCTCAGGCTGCTAGCTGGACCGGTACAGTGACAGCACGAGTGACCCAGCGGGCCGGGCCCAGTGCCCCGCCGCCAGAGAAGGAGCGACCATTCCTTCCCTCCTCCCTGCCGGCCCCTCCTGGTGTTATCGAGCCAGCCGGCAGGCCGCGATCCCCTGGGTCCCCAAAGAAAGCCAAGACACCTTCCCCACCAACGGCCTCAGCTCTGGATTACCCCAGTGAGAATCTGGCCTTCATCGACGAGTCCTCAGACACGCAGAGTGAACGTGGCTGCGCCCTGCCTCGTGCGCCTCGGGATCGCCGCCGTCCCAATGCCCCCAGGAAGCATTCGAGACCCCGGGGTCCTGGGCATCTCCGAGACAAGGCTAGGCCGGTGTAGGGGTAGGGTCCCTACTCTGGGATCCCCCCCGCCAGGGAGTTCTTTCTTCCTGATGCACAGGCTTGTTTGGCTTATTTGACCAAAGAGCCCTCTCTTGTTCAACTCGATTGCAACCCTGGGAGTCCAAGGGTTGCCAAATGCCACAGCTCTTCCCCGACTGGCCCCTCACATCCAGCCATTTCCAAATCCCACCATCCAAGGTTTTCTGTCTCGCTGTCCTAGCCCGGCTTGTCCCTCACACTTCACATCTGTGCCTCAAAACCTGCACCAATAAACAAAAAGTCTGCACCACCGAGTGAGTCCTCCTGGGACCCGAGTGGGTGTTCGAGTGCTTTTCTCACGCCACCATGGGGAGGTATATCCAGTTCACTGTCATCCCGGGGCACCCACACCGGTCAAGTCGTGTCCTTTTTGGCTGAGTTTAGGTATTCAGACTCTTGTCCATGCCTGGAGACCCGAATTCAGAACTGGCCCGTGCACCTCCAACCTTGGCATCGATATTAGGTGTGGGAGCAATTTAGAGTCTTAATGACAACTGCGGTTTGAAGTCTCCTCCCACGAGACCATCCGAGGGAAGACTCTATGCCCTCCCCCTTCCTGGAGCGTGACCCCCTTCTCGACTGAATCCTGTGGTAACTGGTCAGTTGGTGCGGAACGATGGAAGAAAACCTTTCCAAAGTAAGACGTCTGCCTGAGTGCCCTGAGCCCAGACTCATTTTAGGACTCCTAGAATAATCTGTCATTTAGCCTGGGCGCTGCTAGTCCCCACTCCAGCCCGTTCTCCCTGCCCTCTCCAACTCCCCGAATCCCTTGGCTTCCTGTTTTTTTTTTTTGTGTGTGTGACCCGCAGGCTGTGCCCAAACATGTACACCATCGCCGCAGCTCCGTCAGATCGAGCCTGTATGGAGACGTTCGTGATCTATGGAGCACGGCCGAGCTGTCTACAGCGAACGTGTCGGTGTCCGACGTCTGCGAGGACTTCGACGAGGAGGGCAGAACTGTAGAGAAGTCTCGCAGGTACAGCCAGACCATTTCTATGAAGGAAAACCTCAACCTCAACCCAGAGGAGATCCAGCAGCAAGCGCGTTTAGAGCTAGCGCTGCGCCGTGGCAGATCCTTGGAGCGCGATCTTGCGGTAGATGAGGAGGAGGACGAATCTGTGATCTCCCTTGGTCAGTGTGGTCTCGCTGGGGTGATGGGTTTGCTCAGGGGTGGGGCTAGCCAGTATCTCAACTTCCCTTCCTGCGAAATGGGGGTAAGACCATAGGATCCCAAGTTTCTAGGATTTCCTGGAGTGGGTGTGGGCTCGAATCCGTCACGATTTAACTCAAACAGACATTCTTTGAGCGCCCCCTATGGGCAGGCGCCCTACTACTCTGAACCCGGGAAACGCAGAAGAAAGCACAGTCAGGATAGTAAAGACATGGTGGGTTTCTTGTTTAATGTGGTGCTGGGGGCCAAACCGAGAGCATCACGCATGCTAGGAAAGTTCTCTACTGCTGAACTACATTCCAAGCCCTCCCTCACCTGTGGATTTAATTTCATCACTGTACCAGCTGAAAGGATAGAGTTCATTCCCTGACTCGGATCTCTCTGTTTTGAAGTCTTTTTTAGTCAGTAGTTACTTTATTTTTATTTTGTATTGTTTTTCAGAATGAGAGTCTCACTATGTAGCCCAAGATGACCTTGGATTCTTAGCATCTTCTTGAGTGTTGGGATTACACACATCACCACCATGTCTGACTTGATTAAGAAAAGTATATTCCACAGTATGCCAAGCACTGTTTGAGATGTGTGTGTGTCCATTCTGTCCCTTTCATTTCCAGCTTCTTCAGGGAATTAGCACTGACAACAAAGCCAGGTGTAGAAATGTACACCCTTGATTCCAGTACTCAGGAGGCAGAGGCAGGTGGCTATCTGTGAGTTCCAAGCTAGCCTGGTCTGAATATTGAGTTCCAGGACAGCCAGGTTCACATAGTGAGACCCTGTCTAGACAAACAAGGTTGACAGCAATAGAGCAAGTGACATATTCTGAACACTTGTTATGTGTTAGGCATAGGATTTGTGGTACTGTGACCTTTACACATCACAACTTCCATAAGCGGCCATTCTGGGCCAGGGAATGTAGCTTATTGGTAGAGGTCTTTGACAGTTCATTCAAGGTCCTGGGTTCTATTCCCAACAACAAACAACACACTTGCACAAGATGCACCATTCTCATAAAAGACAATTCCTATGACTTTGTTTATAGGTGACGAATCAAAGGTCTCCAAATCTCACACAGTGAGGCACTCAGTTCTGGATCCCAGTTGGGTGGGATTCTAAAGCCTAGGGATGTAACTTTTATACCATACAGTCTTCAAGGAAGGTAGTGTGTGAGACTAATCTCTGAACCCCACTCCCACCATGTGCCTACCCATATACAACTCTGCCCCAGGGAAGACCAAGGAGCCGGATGATGACTGGTGTCTCTTTTCATTTCTCCAGTAAAGTCTACTTCAGAATCATCACTCAGTCTGTCAAAGCAAATGCCGCATCAAGCCTACTGGACAGAGCAGCAGAACAGGGTTGGAGGGGCCTGGGGAGACTGCTGTGGGTGGGTAGTGGGTAGGAGGAGGGCAGGTTGAAGCTTGCAATAGTGGCAGGGTGGGGCAGGTTTCAGGAAAGTGGGGCAGGCAGGCTGGGGAGGTCACATGGGGAGCATTTCAGCTACACACAGAACTGGGGTCCCGTGGTTGTTTGAGCCTCTTGTTGCTTTTGCAGCTGCCCCTGCCCCTGATGGAACTCATGGAGAATGAAGTTCTGGACATTCTCGGCAAAGCCCTCAGTAGTGAGCAACCCCACCCCAGCTTCCACAAAAGATCCTGGTGACTTTGGCAGGGCTTGGTTTGGGAGTGGAGTTTCAGGATGTGCATATCTTTTTTTTTTTTTTTTTTTTGGTTTTTCGAGACAGGGTTTCTCTGTAGCTTTGGAGGCTGTCCTGGAACTCACTTTGTAGACCAGGCAGGCCTCGAACTCACAGAGATCCGCCTGCCTCTGCCTCCCGAGTGCTGGGACTAAAGGCGTGCGCCACCAACGCCCGGCAGGATGTGCATATCTTATCAGATCTCCTCGGCACTCACAAGTATTCCAAGGGCTGTCCAAAAATTAAAAGTAGAGAGACTAGGCACAGGCAGACCCAATGGAGTGACTCAGGACTTAAAAGGAGCCACTTTCCAGCAGGTCTGTTTTCCCCACTTGTCCAGTGGACGGACAGACAGTCTTTGTGTAGCTTTGCTTCAGTCCCAGGTGAGGGAGCTGCAACACATCTGGATTATTTGGGTAAATTTACTGGGTATTGGATTATCTGGGCAACTTTCTGTTCATGATATAAGCCTCCAGTGGGGGAAAGGGGACCAGATGATTAGTTAGAATGGGGGGCCCAGGTGGAGGCTGAACAGCAACTGACTCTCACTGCCTCCATTCTTCATCGTAACACATCGTACCTTGGAGATCCAAAATCCCCCAAACTAACATAAATCCAGCATTAACTGCCACCCCAAGTCACCTGTGGGTCCTCGAATCACACTGTTGGTGCCTACCGGGGGAAAGCTTTGCCGTTGTTCACGGCCCTGTCTTAGCTCTGCTCTCTTCCTAGCATATAAGGCCACGATTGGCAAGACCCACTTTATGACTAAAGAGCTGCAGGGATACATCGAGAGGCTCAAGAAGCGCCGGAACCAGAGACTGTACTGTATGTCTCTGTGAACCTCCAAGTGGCCGGCCAGAATCAGTCCCGTGCCCTGTCCCATTCCCCGGACCCAAGCTCGATCCCATCTGCTTGGAATTTGAGCCCTAAAGAATAAATTAAAGAGTCTGTGCATGGTTCCCGAGAGCGTGACTGCTTGCGTGAGGCGGACGCACGTGGCCCCGCCTTTTCCCGTGACCTTCATTCGGTCACCGCAGTGACCTTGAGTTTTCTCCTCCCGCGTCTCACTGCTACTACCTTCCTGAAACTCACAAACCAGGGATACTTCACGTTTTAGGTCTGCTTTTCCTATCCGAGGGTCCGCAGGTGTGCCAGCAAGTCAGTATCAAGTGTCCCGTCAACATTGGGGGGGGAGCGACCCCATTAAGCTCCACCCCTTACTTATGCATATGCAGACACAGAACCCTGCCCCCTTATTTACCTACATGTTCACCGCCCACACAGAGTCCACTGAGCTGCTACGCCCACTCCTGTAGGGTGGGGCACCGCCCACCGCCATGACGCAGAAGCGCTTTGGCTCCTCCCTGCTCCGGCTGGGAGTCCTAGCGCCTCGCCTAGGCTCAGGCCCAGCCCCCGGGGCGGCCGCGCACGCGTGAGTGTCGCTAAAGACCGCCCACTAGCCTCCGGGCACGCAGGCGCCGCCCGCTTCCCTCGGATGATTAGCATAAGACACCTGGCCCCGCCCCCTATTTTGCATGCGCACGGCCGACCCCACCTCCGCTGTCAGCTGGAGGAAGCGGAGTAGGAAGCGGCCGCGATGTCCTTTTGTGTCCTACAAGCAGCCAGCGGCGCCGCCGAGTGAGGGGGACGCAGCGCGGCGGGGCGGCGCGGCCGGAGGAGGCGGCCCCTGCTCATCCCGGCGCTCCGGGCCGCTCGGCCCCCATGCCTGCCCGCCAGCCCTGTCGGAGCCCCAGGTCCGGGGGCGGAGGGGAGCGCGGCCGCGGGGGTGGGCGGGCGCGGCAGGGGCCATGTGCGAGCGCCGGCGGGGGGCGGGTTGCGGGCGGGGTCGCGCCCGGTGCAGTGGCCGGGTCAGGAGCGGTCTTGGTCCCGGGTTATTCTCGGGCCTCGGAGAGAGCCTCCGGGCAGCGTTGAGCTCGACCCTTGAGCATTGCGGGAGTCCTCGGGGTGGGCTGGGGTTGAAAGGGGCCCTAGAGGCCACGTGGGGGCGCTTGCAGGGGCTTTGGGCCACCCTTCTCTCTGGGTCATAGGTCATCGCAGCGCGGGGGAGAACTTCTTCCTTGTCGCCTCTTCTTACTTCCTGATAACCTGATAGAAGTCCCCCGCGGGTAGTGGGGGAGGGGGAGATAAGTAACTTCAGGCAACTTTCCATAGGTGTGCGCAGGTTGAGGGGGGTGACCCCGGAGGGGGCCTCCCCGGGAGGTCGCGGGAGGTGGTGGACTGCGGCAGCTGGAGTGTAAGAATGAACCGTGCAAGGCCTGGGGTGCAAGAGGTGGAGCCGCGCCCTACACGGCGGCGTGGCTGGACTGGGCTTGCTAAGGCAGGAGGGGATGGCGTGTCAGAGGTGAGAGGTGCTCTCATAAGAATCTGGAGAGAAGAGCGTGACTATAAGACTCGAGTGTGAGTTTGCTTATTGAGTGTGTCTTTTGCTGGGAGTACGAGAATTGACTGGTTAAAGTCCATGTGTGAGTGAGTGTGAAGGACCTCAGGAGATTGTGAGCATGTGTGCACCCGGGGAAACTCCTTAGAGAGTGGCTGCTCCCCCTTCCCCCCGGGTCGAGTTCCTAAGTATGCTCTTGAATACTCCATACCTAAATGGAGCTCTCCCAACATCTGGAAGGACTGGGGAGAGGTGTTATGTTAGGGGTTGAGAATTGCCTACAGGTTGAGATTACCCTGCTTCCTGGCTTGGGTGGGAGCTACACTTGCCAAGCCTCTCCCAGGTTCCCAAGAGGAGGACCTGCTGTCAGTTAACTGGCCCCAGAGGCTCTGGAGACTCTGTTCCCATGGTGACAGCTGGGGGCCCTCTTCATGGGCAGCCCTTGGACTCTGCCTCCTTCCTCTCCTTGGCTGAGCCTGGAAGCTTGGCCTAGGCCCAGTGTTGCCCAACCCATGTGGCAGATTGCCTCTCTGTGACCCTGATGGTCTTTCCCTGCAGGTGACCAGCATCATGTCCAGCCAGGTGGTGGGCATCGAGCCTCTCTACATCAAGGCAGAGCCAGCCAGCCCTGACAGTCCAAAGGGTTCCTCAGAGACTGAGACTGAACCCCCAGTGACCCTGGCCCCAGGTCCAGCTCCAGCCCGCTGCCTTCCAGGGCACAAGGAGGAGGAGGATGGGGAGGGGGCAGGGTCTGGTGAGCAGGGCAGTGGCAAGCTAGTGCTCAGCTCTCTGCCCAAACGCCTCTGCCTTGTCTGTGGGGACGTGGCCTCCGGCTACCACTACGGTGTGGCATCCTGTGAGGCCTGCAAAGCCTTCTTCAAGAGGACCATCCAGGGTGAGCCCCTACCCCTCCTCCCCTGCTTCTGCACCCTTTGCCCTGTACTCTTTGGGCCTGGTACCCTCCAACAGCGCTGGTACAGTGATGCATGCCCAAGGCCCCGAGCCTGTCTGGTGCTGCTTGAGGTCGGCAGTCTGGAGTTTGAACATCCTTGTGTCTCCCAGGGACATCGTTTCTTTTAAAAAGGACATGGCTGAGGATGTAGCTGAGCTAGTAGAGTGCTTGCGTAGCTTGCAGGAGGCTCTAGGTTCTGCCCTCAGCACTGTATAACCAGGTGTGGTGTTGCATATCTAAAGTCTTAGCACTTTGGAGATAACTAGGAGAATCAGAAATTCAAGGTTATTATTAACTACTAGTTACTTCAACTGTACATTGAAAGCCAACTTTGACTATGTGAAACCCTATCAAAAAAAAAAAAAGAAAAGCCATTGTCATAGATCACTGGATTGGATTGGAAAAAATATAAGCAAGGATAGGATGCAGGTTCCTGCACCTGTCATAAAATTTCGCCCCCACCCTCTCTCTGTGTAGAAGCCCTGGCTGTCCTGGAACTTGATTTGTAGACCAGGCTGGCCTTGAATTCACAGAGATCCACCTGCCTCTGCCTCCCAAGCCTTGGGATTAAAGGGCATGCCACCACACCCTGGCTTTCTTATTGCCTCTAGTAGCTGCCTACTTATCCCCAGCACATCACAGAATTCCTTTTCTTATGGGTAACTGATAAAGATTTGTTATGGTTTAGCATCTTGCTTTAAAGAGATAGGCTTCTCCTGGGCATAGAAGTCCTATTTCCAAAAAACCCCAAAAGAAAAAAGGATAGGCTTGCCCACTCTTCAGTCAGTGATTTTATTTTTCATCACCTAGGAGAGCATGTCAGAATTTGAGGAGATGATGAAGACATTGACGTGAACATTCTCTGGGGCAGGTCTATTATGTTTTGATGCCACCATTGGTTACTTTAGCATTACAACATGTATAATTTACAAAAAAAAACTTTTTTGAGACATTATCTTATTATGTAGTTGGCTAAGTTCCAGGCTGGCCTAGAACTCTCTATCCTTTTGCCTGCACCTCCCAGGAGTGCTACGGTTATAGGCAAACCCCATTGCAACTAGTTTTTGAAAAGATCCTTTAGCATGTTTTTACTTTGTGTGTGCGTTTGTATATACACTTACAACCAGTGTATGTGTGTAGGAATCAGAGGGTAACTGTGGGAGTAGGCTCTTGACTTCTACTATATAGGACCTGGGGATTAAATTCAGGGCATCAGGTTTGAGAGCAAGTACCCTTACCTACTGAATCATCTTGGCAGCCCTCAACTGGTTTTTGAACACTTTTTTCTTGAGTGCTTATCCTGTGCTTTGTACTGTCCGCTTTTCCTTTCAGGATCTCAGCCCCCTGTTGCAACGCTATGGAATAGTCAGTAGTGTTGAGAGCGGAAGCACAGGGAGGCTTTTGTAGCTATTCAGATCCCTCAAGTAGAAAACGACACTCCGTATTACCCGAGCTCTTTCCCTCCAGACTGCTGCCTCTGTGTATCACTAGTAACTGGACTTTGGACCACTGATAGTGACATTCCAGTGAGGTGTGTTGTGAGAATTTTGTTGTTGTTTTAAAACAGGGTTTCATAGTGTAATCCTGACTGGCCTGCAACTCACCCTGTAGACCAGGCGGATCTTAAATTCCCAGAGATCTGCCTGCTTCTGCCTCCAGAATATTGTGACTGCATTAATGTGCTACCATGCTGATTCCAGTTAGTTTTGACTTAGCTGAAGAGCACTAGTCTAAAACTGCTCCTTGCTGGTCTCTCAGAGCCAGGTGCCTCCCATACATCTTCATTCTGACTGTAGGCCAAACCTAACTGCTGTGCTGTAAATTACCATCACTCACTCATTCATTCATTCATTCATTCATTCATATTCTCTGTCTGTCTGTCTGTCTGTCTGTCTGTCTGTCTCTCTCTCTCTCTCTCTCTCTCTCTCTCTCGTCTTAAATGAACACAGGGTCTCACTAAGTAAATCCAGCTGGCCTCAAACTCACAGAGATCTGCCTGCTTCTGCCTTTTGAATGCTGGGATTAAAGGTGTGTGCCATCATGCCCAGCTCCATTTTTTTCAGCTTTCCTCTTGCAGTATGATTTTTGGGGGATGGGGTGAGGGAAGTTGCTAGTGATGGAATCCAGGGTCCTGGGAATGCTAAGCATACACTGCAGCAGTGAGCTACACTCTAGCCTCAAGTATGTTTGGTTTTTTTAATCATGCTAACTTTACAGTTTGGAAACTGAAGGCTCACAAGTATTAGGAGTAGAAGTACAGTTGGACAACGGTGGTGAACACCTTTAATCCCAGCCCTCAGGGGGCAGAAGAAGGCAGATCTCTAAGTTCAAGGCCAGCCAGGACTATACAATGAGACCCTGTCTCATTTGAAAAACAAATAAACAAAAGGAATAGGAAGCACATAAGATCACAATTGATAGACAGGAGACAGAGGCAGGTAGATGGATCTCTCTTAAATTTGAGGTCAGCCTGATCTACATAGCTGAGTTCCAGGAAGCGAGATCTATATAGATAGACCCAGTCTCAAAATAAACATATAGATAAGTCCCCACAGCCCTTGCTTTATTGATTGATTGATTGGTTGATTGATTGGGTTTTCGAGACAGGG